TGCTGTGATTGCCTTTGGGGTCTTCTTCATAAATTCTTTGCCTAGGCCAATGTCTAGAAGAGTATTTCCAACATCCTCCTCTAGAATTCTAATAGTTTCACTCCTTAGGTTTAAATCTGTTACCCAGCGTGAGTTGATTTTTGTTAGAGGTGAAAGGTGTGCCTCAGGTATTTTGACCTACCTTCCGGACAGAACTAACTCCAGGACAAAAATGTCTGAGTATTGACATTTTAGGGAAAAACAGTAGAAAAGGGAGTAAAAGTCAAATCTAAATACTTCTTAATGCTTGAAAAAATTTTTAAAAGGGCAGATGGCATCAGAACGATGCAAGACTATAATGGAAATGACATTTTAAGCCAGGAAAGAGGACATGCTAGTTTCTTCTTTATATCAGAAACTCCTTCATTACATTTTTTTTGCTTCCACTACTGGTGAAAAGTCCGTGATTAGATTATTTACCATTTTCGTATGGTGATTTTATTACATATACTTACAAAAAGGGGGGGGTTGGGATTCTGATTTGAATTGCATTGTATCCACAGACCAGTTTGAAGAGAACTGACATTTAGCAATACTGTAATATTAGGTATCTTTCAATCCATGAATACTATACATTTAATAAAATACAATCTTCTCCATAGGTCTTTCAGACTTTTTTGAGAGAAGAGTCTTGCTGTGTTGCCTGAGCTGGAGTGTGTGGTATTAGCCTAACTCATAGCAACCTCAAACTTCTGGGCTCAAGTAATCCTCCTGCCTCAGACTCCCGAGTAGCTGGGACTACAGGTGAGTGCCACCATGCCTGGCTAATTTTTTCTATTTTTAGTAGAGATGGGGTCTCACTCTTGCTCAGGCTGGTCTCGAACTCCTGCCCTGGCCTCCCAGAATGCTAGGATTACAAGCATGAGCAACTACTCAGTCAGGTCTTACAGATTTTTCAATAAATTTATTTCTAAGTACATTTTATCTTCTGATGCTATTATAAACAGAATTTAAAATTATGTTTTACAACTGACTTTTCATACAGATTTTATATCTGCAATCTTGCTAAGCTCTTAATTCTAAAAACTAATTATTTGAACTCTTGGGTTTTCTACATAATTATGCCACCTCTGAATAATGAGAGCAGCTGCTTCTTTTCTTTCCAAACTCCTATTTTTTATCATCTTACTGTGCAGACTGAAATCTCCAGTACTATTTTGAATAGAAGTGGCAAGTAGCAAGCCATCCTGTGATTTCCTGACCTTAAAAAGGGAATGGGCTGGGCGCGGTGGCTCACGCCTATAATCCTAGCACTCTGGGAGGCCAAGGCAGGTAGATCACTCAAGGTCAGGAGTTCGAGACCAGCCTGAGCAAGAGCGAGATCCCTTCTCTACTAAAAAAAATAGAAATTAGCTGGACAACTAAAAATATATATAGAAAAAATTAGCTGGGCATGGTGGTGCATGCCTGTAGTCCCAGCTACTTGGGAGGCTGAGGCAGTAGGATCGCTTGAGCCCAGGAGTTTGAGGTTGCTGTGAGCTAGGCCGACGCCACGGCACTCACTCTAGCCCGGGCAACAAAGGGAGACTCTGTCTCAAAAAAAAAAAAAAAGCCTCATT